ATGTGTGTATATGTGTGTGTGTGTGTGTGTGTGTGTGTGTGTGTGTGTGTGTGTGTGTGTGTGTGTGTGTGTGTGTGTGTGTGTGTGTGTGTGTGTGTGTGTGTGCGTGTTGTGTGTGTGGTCACTGACCGTATGTCTGCGTGTCGTAGGCGCTCTCCCCCTGCTGGATGTGCTCGTACAGGTCTGACTCCTGCTGGGCGTTGCTCTGCTTCCTCTCCTCGCTGCGCTCCTTGCTGCTCTCCACTGTGCGCAGCCGCTTGTTGATTCGCTCGTTGTAGTCGCCCGTCGAGCGCTCGTTGTCCGCCTGACCGGGTTTCCTCTTGAAGCTCTGCAACAGCAAAGAAAAAGACTCTGATGATGCACTAAAGAAACATTTACTTGAACGATTCTAACTCCATATTTGAAGACAAACCTAAAGTCAGTTCAGAATGTAAACCATACTCATATATGTTGGCCTTATAAAGCTCTATGAGGCTTATGGGAAATATTTATCAGAGATATCAGCCATTTCGGGATTTTTATAAATACAAACATACTTATCCCACTATTTGGAAAAACACCAGAAGAAGTACAAATGAAAGATTCTTAATTATTACTTTTAATAAGAGTATCAATAATTAAACTAATGACAAGGAATTGGTTAAAATATGATAACCTCATAAACTCCAAATGGAAGGATTTTGTAAATGAAGTGTATAAAATAATAAAAAGATTAAACAAGAAACAAGAGCTGGGTAAAAGTGGGTGAGGTCTACAAGATACAACATTAATATAGCCCTGTGGTTAGATGTGACAATTTATATACTTATGAGAGTTAATGATACATCTGTAAACAACTATACTTTTTTCCTCCTCTTTGTCAGAGCTGAGCATGTTATTTAGTTTTCCACTGTATCTTCATTTGAACTGTATTTAAATCGTGTTGTGTACGCCGTGTAACTTTATCATTTCTTGAAGTGCAAAAATAAAACAATATAAACTAAACAATAGCAGAGGGAGAAGAGTGGGGTCTCCAGATGGTCTCACCTGGGTCTTGTTCTGGGTCTGTTTCTGTGAGGCCATCCTGGCTGTCAGCTTGGACTGGTGGCCCTCTGATTGGCTGGCATCAGCAGAACCAGTCCCGTGCTCCTAACACAACACAGAAACAAATATTGTAAAGTATGTTTAAACTCTATCCCTTTTAGAGGACCACTTTAGTCTGGTTGGTGGACTGAAAACATTATAAGAACAAAACAGAAAAACAATCCCCCCCCCAGTAAACATAACAGTATCCGATGCCTTAACCCCCCCCTCCCTCAGTCAGTACCTCTTTGGCCTGCTCTCTCTCGGAGGCCTCCCCCCCCAGCTCCACGGCCGTGTCGCTCTGGACGTTCTGCTCTCCGGTCTGACCCTCCGTGTTGTGCTCCTTCCTCTCCGCTGACTCCGGCTGCTCCTCATCCTCCCCTGCTCCTTCCTCCTCCTGTAAGCATTACCACAGTGACACAGGGAACAGAGGCTTCAGGGTCACGCAGCTCCATCAGTTTGTTGACATACACACCTTTGGTTTTTGTCCTTCGTCATTTGGAACACTCAGATCTTTGTCTCTTCCTGCCTCCTCTCCTTTCTCCTTCTCCTCTTCTTCTTCATTTTTCTCAGCAGACTCTTCGTCTCCCTCAGCCTTCTCTCCTCCTCCCCCCTCCTGCTCCTCCTCCTCTTCAGTCTTGGGCTCCTGACCCTTTTCCTCTCCTGGCAGCTCTGTCTGCTCCTTCTCCATCTTTTCAGCTCCTTCCTCCTCCTCTCCCTCTTTCTGTCCGTCCTCCTCCTTCTCATCCAGGGCCGTTGACTTCTCATCAATGTCAAACGGATTCTCTTCTGAACGGGTCAGTTCAAAGTGTTAAAGCATTTCAAATAAGGTTAGAGTTTAGCAGAACACCTGTGGATGGTGTATAGGCTGTCTAACTAAGCATGGTGGACAGTAAGGGGTCCGCCACCTTCAAATAGAGTAACTGTTCCTGACTCACCTTCCCCCTCGCCCTCCTCTCCCTCGCCTCCAGCCTCTTCATCCTGGTCCAGGTTCAGGTCCTCAGGCAGATCCATGGCCTCGGGGTCCGGCCTCTTGTCCTGCTGACCGTGGTAGGGGTCCACTTCATTCTCATCAAACTCACGCTGAGAATCAGAAACAAGTATGATATCATTTGTGACATTTTGGAAATATCTGAAAACAATCCTGGAAGAAAAATATCCATCTTAAGGGAACCAGAACCAGAATAACTTCATTAGTCCAAGCGGGGGCATTTACAGTGTTACAGCAACAAGAGGCGTGACAGGTTCAAAAGGAGGCAGGCAATGATACAGAATATAAGCTCACTGATTTAAGAGAGAAAAGCATACATTAGTAATAATAGAATACAAATAAGACCAATAAGTACACATCTATGGCTCAAAATTAGGAGCAACAATTTAAAGAACTAAGCGACATATAAAGAACTAATGGACATAATTAAAGAACTAAGAGACATGAAGGGGGAAGGGTTAGTGGGGGG